AGCAGCGATCGGAGATGGATGTCTCTCTTTGCCCAGCCAAGTGTAGTTTCTGGCGGATTTTCTTGCTGGGAAGCGTCTGGCTGGACTATGTGGGCTCGGTGCTGGCTTGCCCTGCAAATTGTGTCTGCAGCAAGACTGAGATCAATTGCCGGCGGCCGGACGATGGGAACCTCTTCCCCCTCCTGGAAGGGCAGGATTCAGGGAACAGCAATGGGAACGCCAGCATTAACATCACGGACATCTCAAGGAATATCACTTCCATGTAAGTCAGGCGGCCGCTGCCCAACCCGCCCCCCCTCCACTCCACGCCCCAGCTCCGCGTCTCCCTCTTGCCCGCCCGCGGCCCGGGAACCGGCCCTGCGCTCCCCAGCTCGCCTCTGCTCGCAGCCTGCCGGGCGCGCGTCAGGCTCGCCCTGGCTCGGGAGATGCTGTAGGGCTGCGTGTTCCAGGTGACTCCTGCCCTAGCCAGGCGTGATCGGATGATGCTGGTGGGTACCTCTCCCTAGAGAGGACCCTTCCGGGCGGAGGGCACCCGGGGCCCAGCTCCAGTTTCTGTCTCCACCCTTTTGCCGGCTCGTTTCGAGGGTGCGAATTGGGTTCTTTGCCCCCCACTAAATAGCAACAGTTTGGCCACGCTCAAGTGGTATAAAGTAGAGGCGGCTCGGTTTCCTGACAGGCGGTGGCGGATAGCGGCGGCAGAGGCAATGCTTAGCTGAGAAGGGAAGGTGACAGATAGGGACTGCTTGGGAACCAGTTGAGATTTTTTTTTTAACTCTTTCCTTTTGGAGACAGCAAAAACATGCCAATAAGTAAACAAGTTGGGAGCTGGCTGCTCCCGAGGAGCCGAGGAGACTTCGGACGTGTTCAGGCCATCATGGACGCCTACCTCTTTGCTTTTCCTTTTCCCCCGCCGCCCTCTCCAATCCCATTTTGGGCATTTCCGAGGTATCCCCCCCTTTCCCACCCTCATCTGCATCTGGGCGCCTACAGACCCTTTCCTGGCTTGGGCTTCTCTAACTGCCCAGGATAATTCTGAGTCAGGCTGCTAGAGGGAGAAGAGAGGAGAACCCGTGTTTGGGGAAGGAGATTCCTTCTTCAATTCTGCGATTCTGTTTATTTCAAAAATTGAACTCTGCTTGGCGTTTGCCTGGTTTGCCCCGTCTGAGTAGGACCTGCGGTGGCAGTGGTGGCCTGCTCTTGTTGTTGTGTTTCTTTGGTAGGGATAGGGACCAGAGGCCTGGGAGGGAGAGCAAGGAAGAGCTCAGGCACCCTGAGCCGGCATAGCCTTTCTTTCATCCCTCAGCCAGGTGACGACCACCCCTCCTACCCTGCTGCCGCCCCCCCACACCCCCAAGGGTGTGAATGCCCCTGGGATGTTCAGAGGACACCTCATTGCTTTTTGTCCCAGGGCTTCTAAAGGATGGGTAGAAAGTGGCCAGGCTCTGGGGGAGGCATTTAGGGCCGATCTTTTCCTTAGGGACAGACTGGAGCAAGAAGGGACTCAGTGTACTATGGACACTGCCCGCTCGGTGTCCACCTTCTCTTTGCTCCGGCCACTGCCTCGGGGCTACAAAGCCGGAAGGAATTGCAGTCTTTGCTCTCTCTAGAGCCCACCAGCCTTCTTGGTTCTTGCAGCTTACACTTTGAGGGAATGAACAACCCTAGGAGATGTCCCTGACTCCTGGTCCAGGGGACAAGCCTGACCCATATCTTAGCTCTACTACTCACTCCTTACCACCTTCAGCCTGGCCGAGGATGACCAGCTAGACAGCCAAGGGGGAAGGGGAAGGGAGAGGAGGAGAAGGGAAAAGCCTCTTCTCCCTTCCAGGCCAGAATGCCCATCCAGTAAATCCGAGGATGCCTGGGGCAAGGTCTGGAGGGGGCTTGTCAGGGAAGCTGGTACCTGGAAGTGCACCCTCTGGGGGCCCCTGGGTGGAGGGATGGATGGAGCAAGTTTAGTGGCTTTTGCTCTGGAGCTGGGCTTGGAGAATTTCAGGTGATTGGTTGTGCCAAGGGTTGGAGAGTTTGGGTGTCGGTGAGCTGTGTCTGCTTGTTCTCTGCTCCATGGATGTGCAGATCCCTTGGAACCCTCAGGGAGGCAGGGTTGATCACAATCACACAGGCTCTTTTTGGTCACACAGAGATGTCACACCTCTAAAAAGGAGGCTTGGGGAAGCGGTTCTGCAGGGGAGAGTAGGATTGGTCTTTCCTGGAGACATTGTTGGAAGAAGGGGACACAGGTGGCCTCTTGCTCCCTTTGGGCATTAGAGGATCCCAGGACAGTACCAGTGGCAATATGAGCAGGGAGTGGATCGGGAGCCCCTTGGCGTGTGCTGGACTCTCCTAAATCCGCCTGACACCACCGAGTAAGTGGTGGGGGAAGTCAGAGGTCAGGGCTTGGATGACCCCTTCTCACCCCATCTTTCCCCCAGTGTCCTATTACGCGTGTGTCTAGTATTGACTAAAACTCAAGGGCCCAGACTCCCAGTCCGGAGAAAGAGAATCTCAAGATGGGAGGGGAGTCCTTCTCATCTAGGGATGAACATGCTCTCATTCCCAGCTTACCCCTTTAGAGATGGAAGATTAAGGGACAAGGGAGCCTTTCCCAGGCCTAGCATCTGATTCTAGCATTGAATACTGGTCTGCATAACATCCCAGGCTCCCACCCAAGGCCTACTGGAAGGGGTGGGTGCTTGAAGACAGAGAGGAACATAGGGCAAGGGAGGGTCCAACCTCCGTGTGGCCTGGGAAGGTGTCCTTCAGCTATGTTTCTAGAGATATAGGGTGAGGAGGGGCATGGCCTGTCAGCCTGGAGCTCTGGGTGATGGCATGCAGTCGGACAGATTCTGCACATGGACAGACAGTTTCTCTGGCTGTTCTAAGGTATCCTTCCTCAGATAGCGAACTCTGTGTGGAGTTTTTAGACGGACAAGGTTTGTTTCCTCATAGCCCCAATTCTTTTGAGGTGTCAGTTGTGGGGACTGTATCCATCCAGAGCTTTGAGTGGAAGAAACCCTACCCTCTTGACCGCCCTGTTAATATGAGGGGGAAACGAGCCGCTAGACTTCAGGGAAGAAGTGTGGGTCTTGCTTCCGTTCATAGTCCAGCTGCTCCAAAGGACCCCCTCCCTCCAGATCCCTTCCTCCCTTCGGTTCCATTTCTGTTCCAAAGGGCAGCCTTTGTGCTACTGTAGCTCTCAGTACACCATAGACTCATCCAGAATGGTCCACGGGCAGCCACACCCTACCAGGCTCTGACGACACAAAGGCCGGAGGGTAGTGGCCAAGATGGTGGCTGCTTGAGACTGCCTTCTTAGGCCAGGCCTATGGGGTTGCGTTGGTCTGGGACAGTGTGTCCTTTGAGTGGTCGAATGAAGATGGAGGTAGAGAGAGTGCCATCGCTGGGGCAGATGCTCTTGAGATGGGTTGCCTGGACTTGCAAAGACCATGTACTGGTGGCTGGGGCACTGAGCCGCCATTTGTATATTCGCCTGAACTGCCACAGGGTTCCAGGTGTTTGGCAGGTTCTTAAGTTCTGCATTTCCCTTTTCCTTGGGAAACTCTCTGTTGACCGAAGGGTCATCTGGGGCCTCTGTTCTCTAGGTTCCTCGGTTCTAAGGAACTGAGGTGGGTGACCCAGTCTTGACAAAAGCCGGTCAGAACTGGAATCCTAGTTAAAGTATGAACCAGGCCCTAAAGGCTCCAAGGCCCCGGTAGTTAGACAAAGTGTTCAGAGCCCCAGGATTGGGGTTAAGCCTGAGAGAGATAGGCCGAGTTGAAGCGGGACTTGGAGGTGTGAACTGAAAGGGATGAGGTTATACCCTTGATAGAGTGATCGCCAGGAAGGTAGCCGGAGCCCTGGACTTCTTTGGTGGCAGAATTTCATACTGCGGTCAGGTTGTTGGTGGGTGTCAGCATCTCCCGTGACCTAGAATCAAGTTCAAGTATGCCCAGGTATCAAGTAAACTCTGATAGTACCCCTGGAGCCAAGAATATCAGCTACCTGAAAGCTGAGAACATGATAGTTTGGACACATCTCGTGGAACCTTGTCTGCAGCTTTGAGAGTGAGTGCTTGGATGGTGGGACCAGGAGGGCTGAGCTGAGGTCTGGAAGATTCTTTAGGGTCCTGCAGGGTTCTAGCTGCTCTCTTTGCCTTGAAACCCCAATCCTTGCCCTGGCTGACTAGCCAGCTGACCCTTCATGTTTGGGAAGGATGATGGCTCCTCTCCAGATGTGTCTTGGGTATGTGGTACGTATCTGTGGCCCTTCCTGTGTATGGCCCTTCCTGTGTCATGACATTTCTACTGTGATCTGGGGTTCCCACTTTAGCGCCCCATTGAGTGGCTCTTGCAGCGATCACCTGCCTTTTGGGGGGGAGGACAGTGGCAGTCTAGGAATAAGAAAAGAACAGAATACAGTGAATTATAACTTAGCTTTTCTCCATCTGCCTTGGGATGTCCTGGAGGGCTCCAGGCACCCACAACCTGCACATCTAACTATGAATCCAGGCCTTGGGTCAGAGTGTCCCTTCCAACTGGGACATCTGCCATCTCAGTGCCTGGAAACATCCCCCAGGAGGCCTCATTTAAGGGTCCCTCTTGGACAATTGTAGTGACTCTGTGATACCACCAGGAGGAGGGCATAGGCGAGTTCACCCTGGCTGTGAGCCACTGCCTTTTCCCCATCTGCTTTCCCACTTCTGGAAAAGTCAGGTCACCCAGAACCTGCCAGGATTTGTGACACAGGACACGGTTTGTCATGAACTACCGAGACCAAACGCCACACTTCAGACTGTTTGAGGGTCCCTGGCCTTTCCTTAGTGGTTGAGCAACTGACTCCATGACTCGCCTTCCCATCCCTGGGCTCAGGCCTAGAAGAGATGTCCTTGTGGAGATGTTATCCTTGTGCTGGAGAGAGGTCTCCACGGTGTGTCAGAAAATATTAGAACATCCATCTCAAATTATTCTTGCCGATAACAGGAGATAGTTAATATTTAATGTACGGATTGGTGATATCTAAGCATATAATAACTTAATAAATATGAGTGTTTGGGGGCTGTGAGATAAATATTTTATTGCTAAATCATGCATAATCAGAACAACATGGTGCCCTTGGTGTGAGTGGAAGACTCTTGAGTTCGAGAGGGGATGGGACAGGAGAGGTGATTTGGGGGTCTTTGGCTGTTGCACGCAGTGCTCTGATGAAGTGGTTTGTTAACTGCTACGGAGAGGGGGAATGTAAGATGGGACCTGGCTCAGTGGG